TGTGGGGGAGAGAGAAAGAGAGCGTGTGTGTCTGTGGGGGAGAGAGAGTGAGAGAGAAAGTGTGTGTGTCTGTGGGGGAGAGAGAGTGTGTGTGTCTGGGAGAGAGTGTGTGTGTGTCTGGGAGAGAGTGTGTGTGTGTCTGTGGGAGACAGAGAGAGCGTGTGTCTGTGGGAGAGAGGGAGTGTGTGTGTGTCTGTGTCTGTGGGAGGGAGAGAAAGAGAGTGTGTGTGTGTGGGTGGGGGAGAGAGAGAGAGAGTGTGTCTGTGGGAGAGAGAGAGAGAGAGTGTGTGTCTCTCTGTGGGAGAGAGTGTGTGTGGGGGAGATGGGGAGAGTGTGTGTGTCTGTGGGGGAGAGAAAGTGTGTGTGTCTGTGGGGGAGAGGGGGCAGAGAGTGTGTGTGTCTGTGGGAGAGTGTGTGTGTCTGTGGGGGAGACAGAGAGAGAGAGTGTGTGTGTGTCTGTGGGAGAGTGTGTGTGTCTGTGGAGGAGAGGGGGAGAGAGTGTGTAGTGTGGTGGCGTCACCTTTTGTGTGACATGAGCCCAAGGTCCCGGCTCAGGCTGTCCTCATAGGTACTGAACTTCACTGTCGCTGGGTCAAAATCCTGGAATTCCCTCCCTAAGTGCGTTGTGGATCTACCTCCAACCCATGGACTGCAGCGGGTCAAGAAGGCAGCTCACCACCATGTTCTGAAGGGGCAACTGGGGCCGGGGCAGTAAGTGGTGGGCCCAGCCTTTGCACCCAAGAAAGTGTGTCTGTCCCACGACCTGTGGTTCGCACATTGACACACCACTGGCTGCTCTGTCTCCCTCCCTCCATCTCTGCACCATCGAGTCTCTCTCACACACACGCATGCACTCGGCCTGTCTCTCATGATCAATGGGGAGGGGGAGTAGGGTGCCATCTCCCGTGGGAAATCCTCTGACTGCCTTTGCTTTGTCTGCAGGGAGAACGGACGGTGTTACCGTGAGTGCGTGGGCCGTGTCCTGCTGCAGAACGTCTCTTCTTCGGCCCTGGGCTCGGCTCAGGGACAGGGGCTCTCTGCCAAGGGGCTGGCCTACTGCCTGTGGGTGCTGACTACCTCTGACAGCCTGGATTCCTGCCGGGGACAGAGCGGCTGCCTCACCATCGGCTTGACCATTGGGCCCGACATCAGGGTGATGTGTGGCGTGAGTATTTCAGGCACGGCTGGAGGGTGGGAAAAAGGGAGAATTCGTGTTGGCACAGCCTCACGCTGTCAGGTCGATCCCAATGCCTTCACTCTTTGTTTCCTTTCAGCAAAACTACGTCTACGTCTTTGATGGGGTCCCAGCGTTCCTCACCCACCCCCAGCGGCACAGTGCCCTCTACGCAGACCCAAAACTGATTGGTGCCTTCTGTGGCAATGGGCACACACCCCCAGCCTAAACGGGAGGGCGGGGTCCCCGGGCCGTACCCAGGGGGGCGGGGTCACCGGGCCGTATCCGGGAGGGCAGGGTCACCGGGCCGTACCCGGGAGGGCGGGGTCACCGGGCCGTACCCGGGAGGGCGCGGCTATCGCACTGTGACTGGGTGATTGAGACGAGCTGTCTGTGTCCCGGTGACTGTGGTGGAGGGGACGAGCTGTCTGTGTCCCGGTGACTGTGGTGGGGGGGACGAGCTGTCTGTGTCCCGGTTTCCTCACTGTATCCGTTCTCCCAATCTGTGCCAGGGGTCCTCACCATCTACTTCGAAGCCAACATCTCCAGGGCAGCAGGCACCGGTGCTGAGGGCTTTAATGCCACCTACACTGTCAGCAGCTGCCAGCCCACATGCTCGGATAACCAGAGGTGCCAGGACGGGCGCTGTGTGTGTGAAACGGGCTACGGTGGAGACAACTGCACCTTAAGGTCGTGCCCCAATAACTGCTCTGTCTCTCAAGGCGGGTACTGCGACACGGTGAGTGCCAGAGCACAAGGGAGAGAGGCAACTCAGATTTCAGATCAATGGAGCGGGACGGGAGTTCTCCCCGGGGACACTGCGATGTGGGAATACTCCCCGGGGACACTGCGATGTGGGAATACTCCCTGGGGACACTGCCATGTGGATGTACTCCCCGGGACACTGCGATGTGGGAATTCTCCCCGGGGACACTGCCATGTGGACGTACTCCCTGGGGACATCGCAATGTGGGAATACTCCCCCGGGTGCACTGCGATGTGGGAATACACCCCCGGGTAAACTGCGATGTGGACGTACTCCCCGGGGACAACGCAATCTGGGAATACTCCCCCGGGTACACTGCGATGTGG